AACTTGGTTCTCGCTAATGTCAACATTGCCCTCACAAAATTGATGAGCTGTGATCGAGCTCGATTAAGGTGCTACTTAACAAAAGAAGACCCATTTTCCAAGCGTTGACCTTCGCGTGGTGGATTAAGGTTCAAAATCGGATGAATCATTACCAGCATCGCAAAAGCTGCTTTTTTGCCTGCAGGTGGTTTCGCAACTATAGGTATGTCATCGTCGCTTTCTTCATCCCATTTCACTTCATCTTCGTCTTTCTTGGCGGCCAATGACGCTAATTTTCGTTCAGCAGCCTCGTCGTCCCTAAAACACATTATTGACTGTACAATGAATCAAATTCTTCCCGGCACGAAACAGACTGAGCAGCTTGAAAAACAGATTGGCATAGAACGAAAGGTGTTGAAACCTTACCAGTTGTCGTCCTTATTCTTCTTTCCAGCTGCCTTTTTCGGCGGCATCTCTGAAAATAAATGTAAAAGAGAAATGTGAAAGAAACAATACAGAAAAACGATGGAATTAGAAAAGGTTCCAAGCAGTCTGACTTTCAGGAAGGCAATAAAAAGGAGGATGCTCTAAAAAGTTCTGACCGAACAACTCTTAAAAGAGACTTGAAAGAGAAAGAGTAATCTCTTACAATTACAAGAAATTAGATAACAATAACCGATCTGGTAACCGGACTTATTATATGAGATCTAGAGTTCCACGAAGTCGTAAGCAGGACGAGAAACCGAAAACATTTCAAAGCCTTAACGACTAATGAAAGGTGTGCGGTCTACTCGTTCTCCTCTGCGATTTATGGCAGTTATCCGAGGTCGCAGTCACCTTTACCGATGAGAGTATTCCTCTAAAACTTCCCATAGTGAAATAAGGAATAAGATGAGATGAATAAGGTGAAGAATACATCAAAGAAAAGCATTAAAGTCATTTCTAGAATTATATGCCCATGGCTCCAACAACATTCCGTCATAAAATGCAGGCCCAGTCGTTGTTCATTGCAGTGTCGTCCTGCGATTTGTCATTGAAAACAACAGACTTTAGCAGAAGAAATGGCTGGGTTTATGGTTTAGGGAAAATTTACTAACGACAAGTCTCAACTCACAAAATCACTTCAGTCTACGCATTTCAGCGCAACTGGAATGTATTCAATGATGGAACAGCTCAGCGAAATAAGTAAATCTCTGAAGATTTGAAGCATAAATTTGGTTTCCATTTGCTAGGAAAGGAGTTCACAAAGAACCTGAGAAAACTACTTATTATTTTAGGAGAACTACGTAAAGAGTTGAAAATTCGGCATAATCCCCAGGTCCCAATACTAGTTGACGCTCCTTTGAGGAAACCGTTAAGCGGATTCGACGCTCTTTGCTCTACGCACGGAGCCATTTATGTACTCTGCCCTTTAAAAGTGTCGGGTGCAGACCATGCACCACAAGTGACGACGGCCTTCAAAATGTTTGTTTTCTGCCAATGAAATGATTAGCCTGTTGCAGTTGTATTCTATCGATTGTCACTAATTACAACTATCATTTACCAGAAATCAGCTATCACTATGAACAACTTCTAACCAGATTTACTTGGAGGCCGTCGTCAGTTGTGGTGTTTGGTCTGCACCCGACACTTTCTCGCTTTTTGAAGGGGAGGTTACGTACTCAACACCCGTGAGTACCCTCTGACCATGAGGCCCTCTACTGTTAGAACACGACCCCGCACCAAATAACTGGCCTCTGCGAGAATGGAAAACCTCTGATCGGCCCTGAGCGCGCGATTTAATCCGGGGCTCGGCGCCTGTTATAACGCGCGGGAGGATACGAGGCCTCAACGTCCCTCCCACCCTGCCATAAGTGGACTAGGTTTATAACTTATAAGCCGAAACCCCCTTCAGGCGGTAAACTGGTATGGCCATGGCAACGGCGCGCCCCCCCCCCCCCCCCCCCCCCCCCCCCCCCCCCCCCCCCATATATCACGTGGGTACAAGTCCCAAGGAAATGGATGTGCGATTCCGGCACTCCAAGCTTTCATCCTTCTGAGTTATTACGTCTTAGCAGACCCGAATGGAGGGCTCAAACTTGCGACTACTGATGCCATTTTTGCAGCCTCCTAACTATTACGTAATACTTCCTCAGGTTTTTGTTTCGATATTACCTTAACTATGGACTTTGAGATATCACGAAGGAGCAAACTATGTGACATCTTTTTCTCCCAAATGCTTAATTTTACATGACGTTTTTTGGCACAATTGTACGGTACGGTGATATTGTGGCAAATGACGATGCTTATCACCGCATGGTCCGGGCATCACATCCTGGACAGGCCAGACAAACCCTCCATCCCTCCTGGGTTGGTGCTTCGACCTGATTTGTCTGGCTGGAAGGACTAATACACTGACTTGTACATCGATTAGCCCTGCAAGTTGTTGGGCCAAATTTATTCATTTATTTATGGACATAGGGCAAGTGGTGTAAGTGGCAAGTGGCACGCTCACCACGCGAGCGGTCCGGGATCAAATCCTGGGTCGTGAGTCGCCCGGGCCAACCAAGCCTTCCATCCCTCCGGGGTCGGTTAATTGGTACCAGACTTGTCTGGGAGGATAAAAACACTGACTTGTACATCGGCTGGCCCCCGCAAGTCATTGTATAGGCCACATCGCATTCAAACGCCACTACGAATGTACAAATGGAAGTAGAATGCGTGCCGCATCCCAAAAAGGGATTGATCAACGGCAAATGCTTTATCCTTTTACTTTTTTTAATGGAAATGTGAAAAAAAAACCTGTAACACAATATAAACGACAAATCTCATTCAAAATGCCACTACGATTTCGAATGGAAACAGAATGCGTGGCTCATCTCAACAGAGTGATCAATTGATTTTGGACTTCGTTTTTTTTTTTGATTCAATTGGCTGCTGTTCTTTCTGCGAAGCAGTTCGCCATTGCCGAACAGTCGCCACAAGAATGCTGAGTTTTGTCAAAGATTCCCGCCTCACGACGGGGACCGGAACCGCACACCCCCCGCTCCTATGTGTAGGTCGTGGGTTTCGGTCCCGTCCATGGCCAACAGTTTTTGTTCACAACCCAGCATTCTTGAACAGAGTGGTATGCTTGGCCCTTCAGTCGCACACCTAGTTTTACCGCGGCTGCCTCTTGCAAGTCATTGTATAGGACATATCACATTCAAAGGTCATTTAGATGCTGAATGGAAGTGATGCATGGCGCATGCTAAAGGACTGATTAACGCCAAACGCTTCGTCTTCCTTGTGGAATCTTACCGATGAGCTGTTCTTTCTGTTTCCAAGTCAACTTTATGCAACTTCTGCTCGCTCAGGATAGATGTGAATTCCGTATGGGATCCCATGTGGTAGCAGCGTTTCGATACCGTGACACTACAAAACTCGCGGCCCATCCAGAGTGGGAACAAAACGTCCCGGGAGCCGTACTAAACCCCAAAGGTTAGGAGGATTTTATTTGATGTATTGTGAAGGTGAATTGGAGAAGCTGATATTCCATCCCCTTAAGCGAGTTAATCTGGCATTCAGGTACAGACATTTCTGCCAGGTCTGCTTTGCCAAAGGTGCAAGCGTGTGGCAGCAGATCCCTGGACAGCTTTTGGGCTACATCGCCGCCTCTCAGGATCCGCTGCCTAACTTTCAGGTTGAATTGGTGAAGACAATACAGCCTGTGGTCATTGAATTCTGAAAGAACCTTGCCCCTCTTTTCATTCGTGCGTCAAATGCCCTTTAAAGTTCGGGTCACTGAAAGAATAAGGCTTTTGTTTTTTTTTATACCCCCAAAAATTCCTGACCTGCCTTGTTCTTTTTTCACTTATCCCGAACTGAAAGAGCCCTACACCAAATGAGCGTGAGCCAACTTCAGTAAAAACATTTCCTTAACTGCCAGACTATACACCGTAATCTTTCAGAAAGCCAGCCAATGTGAAACTTCTTAGCATACGAAGTTATACGACAGATATGAAAGTGATGGCAACTCTCGACAGCTGCCTGTTCTAAAATAAATAATTGAGTCAATTTTGCGAGTGGTATAATGCCATCGACAAATATTTAACTATAAGATTTGCCTTTCTCTCGGCTTAATTGTGAGCCACAAAGGCACGACATCCATGACATTCGCGCTTCCGGCTGGTTCTGCTATTGATTGCCATGAAACGGCCTATACGACGTGATCTGCGTCTCTTTCGTCCTCTGTGCTCTCTTGTATCCGACACTGTTTTACCGTTTGGGCATCTCGGTGCCTCTTAGGCTGTTTGTCTCTGTCTAACTGTAAGTGGTCCAAGCTTGTCCGCCGTTAGAAAGAGGGGACCCATATTTTCTACGCTTTCGGCAGTTTCTCTTACTTTTACCCTCCCAGTTCCACGTTTTCTTTAATTCTCAAGTGGAATAACTTCATCTGGTAATCGTGGAATGAATGCACGCTATCCTCAAAATTGGCTGTAGTCGACGCTTCTGACGAGGTAGCGTAACTGCTAGAGGCGTGACCGCAAATTTTCAGTACTTGGGATCAAATATCGCCGAGACCAAGCGAGATCTTCATTCATTCGGAACCAATTTATTGGTACCAGCTCTTCTGCAATTATAGAGACTTTGCCTCGAATACTGACAAGTGTACACTTCACGCCAAGAATTCGACCTCTTATATGATTCAATTCGCTGAATGCATAGCGCGTAACCGTAAGATCGACAGGAGCCATTTTCCTAATCTCAACCGCAACGAGAACATTTTAATTTACCCACAGCAATTACTGTAGGGGAAGAAAGAGCAGCGTCAACTGGAAATTTTCGTTGTGGATCGAGATTGAGTAATTAATCAATCTATCAGAATTTTTCTTAAGAAGCTGATCGAAGAGTCTCTTCAACCCTTTCTCGGTTTCCTCCCTACATACTTTCTAGCAAATTCTCGCCCTGAGCTATCATGTTTATAGGTAAAATATGACGGTTTCATATGTTAAAGGAAGCGATTCCGATACATCGGGGAAGCTACATGTGCCACACGAAGCAGTAGCTTGGCTGCCAGGGAAGCGAGGTGTAGCGCTTTCACGACGAAAGGTGCGCTGGTTGCTGAGCAGGACTTGAAATCGCCACGCCCCAAAGCGTCCACCACTATTTAAAGGACGAATTCACGCTGGAAAGGCAACCCATTTCAAATTAAGTTAGCGATGGTGAGTGGTACACTAAAGAAGGAAAAACCATGAGAAACGGCCCAGAACCGAGAAATGGGA